TCTCTCTCTCTCTCTGCCATCGTCAGATCGTGACAAGCAGCCCTGGGAGAGATAGATTGGGATTACAAGTGATGTCAATTTTTTAGTAGTAATTTTCAGCGTGTAACCAGTTACATCATCATTTTGCTATGAACCACTAAAATTAGGAATGTTCTGGCTAAGTGTTGGGGATTATTTAGGTCTGTTCGGTTGACTTGAGATCCCTGTGTGAGTCTTGTGATCTTGTGATCCTTTGGTTTCTTTGGGTAATTGTATGACAATTTAGTGTATAGGGGCGTTATTGCTCACTGTTAAGTGAATACGATAAATAAGTCTTTTATAAATTAAACTTACCAGGTCCCAATCCCTTGAAAGATGTGGGTTTGATTTTTTCGCTGTTTGGGACAACTGCTGGTAAAAGGACTAACTTCATTAACATATGGAGAAACAAATAAGCAGCATCCCCACCGTTTCGCTCTCTCATAGTTTGTTGTGCATTTGAGGAGTGATAAATACACGATAAAGAGGATGAAGAATGGATTTCTCTGCACACCAGTAGCAAAGGTCCGTCCAAAGTTGTTAAACTGAAAACGTTATTACATGTATGATAAAATTGTTCGTTAACATTTTTTTTAATACCTGATGTGTTAAAGGATGTCTGGTTTTTTGCGCTGGTAAGGGCATCTGAAATAAAAAATATAGAATAAAAATAAAATGAAGAACAATAACAACGATAATTACTTTTTATTATATCCAATTTTTGAATTAATGGTGATCCGCCCTACTACCGAATTCGGCTCTCAGTGGTGCAAAGTACCCACGAATTGCACCATTTTTTGCTCTAATTCGCATTTTTTTTTCCCAAGCCAGTGGGAAAGCTTTACCGGCTAAAACACAAAAAGCAATCAGAATTCAAGGCTTGCTTAAAGTAACCAGTCAAACTGCAGGAACATAAAGGACACCTTTTGCAACTTTTTACAAACCAGCTCAGTACTGAATCAATGAAATATATTTTGTACGGACCAAAAAAATCTGTATTTAAGCAACTAAATTTTGCGGTTTCAAAATGGATGCAATAAAGTGGTAACAGAACTTCATGTGAAACAATTTTGGTCTCAAAACCATACTTCAGCGTGATTTCAATCAACCGTATGATTTCAGACCAAGTTGCACACCTCTCTGTTTAATTACCGTTATCAATTTCTCTCAACCAAGTTACGACATGGGTAAGATAAAGCTTTTTTTGAAAAAGGTTAAAATCTTTTTAGACACAGTGTAGATATAAAAACTTGTTGAAAGTTTAAGAGTCGTAATTAAGCCTTTGGAAAGAAGACGATTTTAATAAGCTAAACATTTCTTCCCGAACTGTGCAATCAAAGTGTCCCTCCTAGGGCATATTATTCTAAACTTGCCTGTGTTGTTTCCTATTTGGATTGAGGCACGTGCACGAGAGAATAACAAATCTAATCAGAAGAAAAATCTCTCGATTTGATTCGTTTACAAGCAATTTTCCTTTTTTGTTGTTGTTTTTTTTTTTAACTGACCTTTCAATCAATCAATCAATCAATCATATCCTTTATGACACGATGAGGTTTACAGCTGGGGGCTTGTGGGGTCGTGTAAATATAATTTCAATAACAATAAGAATAGTGTCCCTTAAAATCACTCTACAAAATATACAGTAAGAATGATAAAAATGATTTACATTATTTATCTCTATGTAAATTGACTACAGCGTTTAAAACAAAAATAGTTAAAAGCATTTAAAATCTTGGTAGTGCCTGGGTAGTGACTGGACTGACTGTGCGCTAAAATCGAGATCCTTAAAATAAGAGTCCTGCTGTCACTTTGCGATAAAAAAACTGAAAAATGGTCTGTGAAATGTTTCGAGACAGCGTTCCAGAGTATAGCGCCTCTATAGATAATGGGGATTTTAAGATTATCCCATTTACTCGAGCGCATTTATTTCAAGTTGCATTGGTCTCATTTTGCTATGAACCACTCTAATTAGGAATGTTCTTACGAAGTGTTTGGGAATTGTCTAAGCCTGTGAGATTAACTTGAAATCCTTGTGCGAGTCTTGTGATCCTTGGTTTATCAGGGTGCTGCGTGTTTGGGTTTGTCCTTGACCTTGCTTTAAGTCCTCAACGAGAGGTTTTATTTAGGTTTTAGTTCTCGCAAATTGGTTGATTTGCAAATAATGTTTTGATCATTTCGAGGGTCTTGAGAAATTGATTGGGTTAGCGTTCTAAAAATATGTTTACTCTGCCAAGGTCAGTTGTGCCGTAAGCCCAAACATGCCTACCGATACAATATTTAAGAGGATCTACTTATAGGCCTAAATTAGAGACACAGACACTCAGTTATTCAGATGAAGACCCATTAGTTAAGAGGCATTAAGCAGTGAATGAATAACAGTTTTTGACCAGGCTCTTGGTGCCTTCGTTTGCGCGAATTGCTCAAACTAGTTAACCCAAACATGCACAGGCCAACAATTTAATTACACATACCTTTACTTAATAACAGGAAACAAAAATACCGTGACAAACGCCGGTTTAACCTACATTGCTTAGACTAAATTATTACTCGATAGACCAAACACATCTTTCATATCTATACAAAGACTTCAACATTCACAGTAGTCTTTCTTACTTCAGTTACCTTAGTGAAAGTTGAGGCATAAACAATCTAACAAACTAGCCAAATTAGCTAAATTTTAGAGTTCATTCTTGCCATGTTGTAACAAGTATTGTAGCTTACCTCGTTTGACTCTTTCAAAGGGGGGCGTGTTTCGTAGATTAACCAGGCGGTTCCGCTCATTCACTGAAGAGTGATGTTTCCCTATGGGTGGGGGAGTAGTAAAAGAAGTATGTATGGACACGATTTAAGAATATATGCAAGGGTGGTTTGTGGTGAAGTAACTAAAATGCGCCTCAGCTCAAGAGTCTCTAAAGCAAACTAGGATAAAATAATACAAGTAACAAGTAACTTAGGGGATATATAAAACGTCGGTTCTATCCATGCAAATGCCTTTTTTATTTAGTAAATTGATCGTTGAAAATACTAAAAAGCTAAGGCATAGAGGATTTCCACTGACTCTTTATAAACATCGTTGCTCCATCAAACGCCGGTGTGACCATGGTTGGGAGGCCAAAAACAGCGGGAAAGAACAAAATTTTGCAAGTTATCTTATGGTTTACTAACATTGTGAACTTCCCAGCTAAGCTCTAACTGAACAGAAGACTCTGACTACCGGTTTTACTGACTCGTGATTTTCCGGAAAGCAATTCTACTGATGGACTGTCTAGCTGTTTCTTTAACCGTCCGACCGACTTACGAACAGACTAGGCGTTTCTCCTCACGACAGATGGAAATGAACAGTATGAGAAATAAAAATAGAAGTTTTGGTTAAAATGTTTCCTTTGCTAGGGGTGGTTGCTACAACAAGACCAAGATCACATCACTGTTTTTTTTTTGTTTTTTTTTTTGAATGAGTGAGCTCTTGAGAATTTATATTCCATTTGTGTCATTAAAATTTATACCTTCTTTTCCAATGCACTTGGTGTAACATAAATGATCCAGTGACAACTGCAAGACACACCAAAATCAAGATTCGCTTGAAAGAAAGCTTACATATTGTTTGATGTACTACACAGGATTAAAAATGCTTTAGCTAAATACAGTACTAGCGTGCTCATAAGATTAGGTCACCATGGATGGTAATTAACCCACAATGAAACACTTGAATGCATACGATCGAGCTAGAAGCTAGGTTGAAATGTTTGGAAGAAAGTAGTCGAGACAGTTGATGATTTGAGTTCACGATTGCCCTGGACCCGATTGTTCCCAAATCTGATCGCGTGAGTAATTTTTTTGTCACTCAAGGACGATACTCGTAATCTTGTTTCAAAGCAATGTTAAGATACTTACCTTTAATTAACTAAAGGGCCTTCTCAGTGATATGTATGTGGCCATCATCTGGATTGGGTCTACTCTCCAGGGTTCTAACCACAACATTCTTTCTTTAAACAAAATTTGATGTTTCAGTTTTCGGAAAAAGGTGGGCTAGCCTGGGCGTGCGATTTCAGATTCTTTTCATCCTCCTTGCTACCAGGATGAAACTTGAAATAATGAGCCTTTTCCTGATTTCGGTATCAGCGAGGTGTGATTTCCCATAGCTGGGTAATCAGACCGGAATTTCTCATCTAAATGGCGGAAAACTCGTCCTGATAACCGGCCAGCCTGGCGTTTAGCCTTACATGCAGAAGTCCTGAACATATTGAGTCTACAACAAACATCGGCAAGATTTCCGTGTAACCCTATAACTCGATGCGCGTGTTTATTACTGAAGTTCTTCTTCGCACTTTTGTCTAAATTTCATTTGATCTGGGTTATCATCGAACCAAACGAAACATTAAATCAAATGTAAGAAATACTGGATTTTACCTTTTCTCGGGATATTTTTGCTTTAAATGGTTGAAAGCCTAGGCCACATCTCCTCAAACAGTGCCCCACCACAATCTGACCAGTTAACTTCGATTCATTAAGAATTCCAGAAGAGCTTTGACACTGCACGGGCCTGATGGGAACATTGCTCCAAATGAATACAATAAGAACGCTGATGCAGAAAGATACCCCCATTTTTTGACGTCGAACTTCCAGTGTGCTCAAGTGTAAATGAACGTATCTAGAACTCGGGCTGTTTGAATTATGTTCACCTTTGCACTTTCTGCTTGCCTGGTCAGATATGGAAAAATTTTAAAATGTTTAGCGGATTATGGTTCAATAACATAGTTTCTGGATAGGCCACTTTATGTGCCAAGACACAGTGCCTCGTTAATCAGATATAGGGGTGTATCTTTGCTTTTTCCTTGTTCTTAGTTTGTTTCTAAATTGATTTTCCCAGTCTACTTTCTGTTTATACAAACTAGAAATCTGCGTAAACAGTTATTAATTCATACGTCCCTAAATGAAAAAGTTTACGTCTACTGACTTTGGTTTATTGGTAATTTTTAACTAAGATACTAAGTCAACGAGAAAAGGCAGGGAGTATTGAAGGGTCAAATTAAAGGGGGACAAGGTCGTAGCATCCAAAATCGATTGAGCAATAATCGCACGACTATCAGGTAACTTTCAGAACAATAGACGGTTCCTTACGTAAGAGTCACGAGTTTTGTTGGAAAGTCTCCAGCGATCAGCGTGAGATGTGGCATGTTTCTCGAGTTCGTCCTATTCAGCGCATTTGACTATTTTCAGAATATCTAATGTTCCATTCTTCTCTATTTTTCCGCCTTGAGTTTATTCCTCGTTTTTTGTGTTTATTTTAATTAAGTCTAAAAAACCTTACGTGTTTAAGACCCGAGGTGGTCATTTTAGAGATAGGTACTAACGACCTGTGCTGTGCAGAGGTCAAATCTGAAATTCTGGGCCTTAGTGCAGGAACTCCATAGCCAATACCAACTAAAATACTTCGAAGTATGTCAGACTATTGCGGGTAGTATATTCTAAAAGGGTACTCGTTATTTGATTATCATGCCGCGCTTTTTTATCAGTACATAAGTGTGGTCCTAGAGACGCGACCGTTTGCTACTTTTTGGTGCCATTGCGGGACTTACAGCCCATCTATTCCCATTCTTTGTAAGGTCGGGATGCACCTTAGCCGCAAAGGACAACACGCACTCTTATCGGGGCGCAGTCTTATACGCTCTCAAGTCCATTCTAAGGACAATGCCTCCCGCTGAGGGTCAGTCACTATGCCCTCAGCTTAAACTAGTTCCCGTATAGTACTCATAATCTTTATCTCCTGCTCAGAACTACTAATCTTTTGTGCAGGGAACATTTGTCCCTTAGTTTTGCGGCCTTATCGCATGTTCCTCGCGGCAGATCCTCCTCTATGAGCTTGCCAAACATGTTGCCGTTTTTCATGGATTAAAGCGATTAGTAGTTTCACTACTGAAGGGGTGAGGGGATCTGCTGGGTTTGTCTCGTTATCTCTTTGACCCTTTCTTGTAAAACATAATTTTGTGCTGTAAATTCGAAAATTTAGTCTACATCCGGTGTTTTTGGACCCGTGGGAAATCGCTTGTTAATCCCTCTTTGTCAACTGAGATGGGTACACACCCCTAGAAACGCCCATCCACGCCCACTTCAAGATTTTTTTTACTCTATATGTGCTAGAAAACACCAGCCTCAGCGCCGAAGCCACAAGGACAATGCAAAAGCCACAAACAACCGACCTTCCCAGCCAACTCGAACGCATTTTGCTCGCAGGTTACAGAACTGTTCAAACGTCTCCACCCCTGGTGAAGGGGGGCATCGGGATTTTTGTTCTTGCGGCTTTTACTATTTAGGTCGGTTTTTGTGCAAAAAAACTTCGGTTTTAGTGTTCATTGCAGTTTACAAATTTTCTGTTTTATAACATTTAGTTTTCGGTTTTCGCCGTGAATATCAACGGGTTTTCGGATTTGGTATCCGATGTGGTTTTTCGGTCTTTTGCATTTGGGTTCCGGTTTCTCTTCGATCCGAGCTGCAATTATGCACCTCTACTGATCTCGATTAGCCGCGAAACCGCCGTATGCTCCACTCGTTACCTCTGCATCGGATCAATTGGGAATTTGATAACTGGGATGTGAAAATATATCGGTTTTGGTGGTTTTACATGTGGTTTCTTCTAATAGACCCCAAGGGCCCCTTCTGGAGGATGTAGCGGTGATAATTTCAGGGGTGATGGTCAAGCGCCTTAAAGTAGCAGGAACACTGTTTCCGAAGCTCCCTCAGCTCCTGCGTCGAAGTACACGTATTGAGCTGCTTCTGTACAGGGGTAGAGTCCAGCTCTGATTCAGAAAATAATGGATGTGGAAAATTACCCCGAGCATAAAACTATAGCAATTAATTTCCCGTTCGCAATAGAACCTTTGGCCGAGAATAATGACTACCCGGGTAGTGTTCGCAACCAAATTGCTGTTCCGCTAGCAGCACGAGTCTCGGACAAACTACAATCCAAAATCTGGTCGAATAAAATACGTTTACTTTTGGACTCTCTTACAGAAGTCATCTTCGAGCGTGAGTGACATCAGGTACGATTTCATTGTTCAATCGTGCCATCCACTGATCGACTGGTCATTAGTCTCGAACCATAATTCAAGCTCAAACTTATTGCCACCGTTCATAAATGGGTCACGTCTTCTCAGAGGATGTATCTTGATGATATGTGCAGTGCGTTTTCCAAGGGGCCCCGCTTTAATGAAATGCAGTAAGACAGAGTGGAATCTGGCGACAAAGAACGCCTACTGATGCTACTATAATAATTCCGGTTTTTAATAGTAAAAATCGCTTTTCCCCTGGGACAGGCGCACCAATAGACCAAAATACCTCTCGCCGTGTCATCCGTAACGCGCATCAAAACTATTCTGCACTTTCCGTCTGGGTTCTACTGGAAATTTCACCGAGGGGAAAATTTCGTTAACTGCAAATTCAAACATGAATGTTTCAAACGTGGAATTCAGCAACTTTTTTTTTTCTCAAAACATGCGTTGAGAGCAGCTGGAACATTTCCATCTAACACATCCATCATCACACCCTGTCTCGTTCAGATAACGTGATTTATCGATTTATCGAGTTAACTAGATAAATTGCAGGCCTATCTCGATGGAATACCCTGCTCGATCGAAACAATACCTTTCGTTAAAAGGGATCTCAACATCATTTTTCGTCCAACAATGTTTTTCCAGCCCTTAATAATCCTAAGGCAGTCGACGACAAGCTCGACAAAGAGGTCCGATCAGGCTAGAAGAGCTGTTATGTTTAATACTTGGCCATTTTCCAAAGCCCCCGGGGAGTTCTATTGTTATTTCCAGAAGGGCAACAATCTATTCTCATATTCTGCGTGCTGCATCAATTGTTCATTCCGTTAATGTTAGGTTAGTTCGGCTCACAGGCAGGAGCTGCGCGATGGCAAAATCAAATATCAAAACTGCTCACCGACTGACTCCGTTTAGCCCGTCCGATAACAACTCATACGAATTTTTTAATAGCGTGTTAAATATTCTACGTCGATAGAAAGCTCACCATGAGGCTCTTCCGTTCTTACAAAACATTCGAGTATTTCAGTTCTGCTCTCAAATGAATAGTCACGCGCGATGGGAGGAGCAACCAAAACCCTCCGACCCCTCATCTCCTCAGGCGTCAAATAATGATCGGTCTCTTATGTAAATAAACAAAACTGGAACAGATCGAGAACAAAAGCAAGTAAATATAGGGAAATCATCCTTTTGAATGTTCTCTTGATTGTTTTCAAAGTAAAGTATTTCCTGATACGAATTAACCAGGGGTATATGAGATTTATGCATTTGGTTTAGGCTCTGAACTATACTTATCACAATATACCATGATCAGACGAAAAAATCTCAATCGTGCAGTTAATCTGTGGCATACAGTCTATAACGATCTTGTGTAAAATGTTGATTTAACTCATAAAAAGAATTAAAATGGCTGATCGCCTCTTCTTCAGAGCATGCTTGATTATTTCCCTTTTAAAAGGAGTCTTTCTATAAAATACCGATTCCAATCTTCGATGCTCGGGATCTTTATTTTCATTCTGGCCGGATAGGTCATAAACTTAACGACAACATATGTTGGTAAACGATACAAATACAATTTTTTTTTCTAATTTAAGGCACATACACGTGCGAGCGCATCAGCGAGTTTTCTAACATAACAGCCAGGTAATGAGTTATTGAGGACTTAAAGGCAACGCAAATTTCTACCAATCAATTAGAGACCCATAATCACGTGATGGCCATTATCAAGACACTAATAAATGCTAAGAAAACAAAAGGTTGTAATCTTACCTTAAGGGGTCGAATTGGCCATGATTTTTCGATACATCACGCAGAGATGTTAGTCAATTTTTTCCGCTTCTTTTCAATACATTTATTTGTTACAATGGTTTATTTCATCTCATTTTACTTTGTTTAATTTTCGTTCGTCTATCAATCCCCCAGAAACGAAAAACAAATGAGTGCGAGCAATAACAAAAAGTTTTTTTTTCCTCCCTCGTAAATGACCGTCAAAGACCATGAGAGAAATCATTTGCTGAACTGAGGATGTGCAGAAATTATCCTCGAAAGTGAGCTACAATTAAAATAAATTGCAGAAAAGAAGAGTGGAAAAATCTGGTTTTGACTGGGTATGAACCCGTGCCATTCGCTCCGAGAAGGGCTAACGCCAAAAACGTAAGCTTTTAACTCTTTACGCTCGCCAATTTACATTATCAACTTAGTTGATAAAACCAAATTACCTAACAGAAACTAGTTGGGTGCTACTACCAACTGAGCTACAGTGTACCAAGCACGGCAAGTTTTAGCAGTTTTCTCTCTCACCATATCGATTTCAAAGTAAACGAAAACGAACGCTTTTGTTAATGCTTTTCAAATGAAGATATCACACGACGCCACAACAAATTCCGTCCTCACTTAATAGCTAGCTAGTGACTCAGGAAAAAAAAACATTCCCACCAAAATGATTACCATTAATAGAACTACTACCAGCGCCGCACAAACGACTTATTCATGACTTGAATATTACAAACGAACCAAACAGAACGACCTAACTTTACCTACGGATCGAAACAAACCAATCACGACCGCCTTACGCCCCTTGAGTTTTACAGCCAATAAAATCGATATCACGGCAAATCTGACCTATCATTTTATACATACTGGACTTAGAACATTCGACTGCATGACTGTTCAACTGACTCTGATGATGACTTCCGCTAGTGCTTTCAATGTGTCAGTCACCACCATCGACAACAGTCCTTCTCAGGTCCACTCTCTCCCGGACGATCAGACTACACTATCGCATATTGTCTCCGGGCTCAAACCATTCATACTAAAAAATACGTATGTCTTCATGGGTAATTTTCACCGGTTTTTATACTAACCACAAATTTAGTTAGTGAAACTCGATCATCCTGGGATAAGCATGATTGCACACCATAAACACTATGAGATACTTGAAAATAACACAATGTTTGCAACCTGATTGTAGTTTAGGTCTTAAATCATTTTACAATGCAATGGAAAATTCCTTTCTTTTCGTAATTTTGAAAATAGTTAGTCATGGTTCAATGTTGAGCAAAACGCCCTTCTATCTACTTGGACATCGCTTGAAAATTATTTCTGTGCTGCAAGTGAATAACAACAGTAAGAAAAGAAAGGAGGATGAGTTGATCGCGGGAAATCAAATACGGTGAAAGGTAACTAAAAAGCGGGTCAGATGTCCACGAGATTAAATTCTAAATCGAAAAATGACCTCCATATCAATAAGAATTTGTCAAGGCGCGTTAAACGGAGAAATTGAGAAATTCTTCAATCTTGTGTAAACTGCCAGGTATGCTCCGATGAAAGATCCCTTTCGCTAGTGTTGGTTGCTAGCGATGCAGTAACGAAACCTCTGCCACATCTCTGCTTCAACGAGGAACTTCAGCGATAGAAGAGTACGGCATTTCTAGGTACGTTTTTCTAGTTCATGCAAGCAATTTAGGTTATGGTAATGGGGATAGCGATGCTATTTTTCTTTCTCGCAAATACGTTAATCATTCCAATCTTGTGGTCTGTGTCTTAAATCTATTTAGGAAGTCTAGTTTATCATCGCAAGGGATCCAGGCCCAGGTTTTTCATTTTCCGTTTTGTCATGATTACTGACATAACTTCCTATGTACACGTCGTTTTCTTCGATGTCGTCAACCGCGTAGGCATTGCATTGGTTTCATAGGGTTTCCGTTCAGATTCAAGTTTCAGTTCAGTTTCAAGTTTCAGTTCGCTTCCAAGTTTAATTTTTTTTTTATTGACTTTGCCTCCTATTTACACGCACTTAGACAAATATGAAGTCAATGAAACACTCATGAGGCAAGGAAGCTTAAAGGAGCCAATAAGTCTTAGGCAAAAGACCTCATTAGAAAATTAAAGAGAGATTAAGGCTCATGAAATAAGCATCTCTTCTTTTTTTTCTGTTTTGCCTCTCTGAATACCGACTTTGGACACAGAGTTTTATGCGCCTGTTTAGCATACCTGTCATGTTTGCCTTTTGTGTAGGTACCTGAAATGTTATGATTCCGGTTGCAGTTCCAGTTGCATATACGCAGAGTGATTTAGAAAATATGAAAAAAAAATTTGTTTCCTAATTTTTTGTTTGTTTGTTTGTTTGTTTGGTTTTTCTTTCTTTTTCAAAATATTTTATACGTTTTGTCTCGATGAACGTGTTATTTCTCTGACTTTTCCCCTTATATCCACCTGCCCTCTTAGAGATTCAGTTATATAAGAGCTGACTACTTAATTTGCGTCCACGAAACGTTAGGAGTTTAAGCGACAGCCTTGAACATATATATTTGCAGGTACAAGCTAGCATTAATTTCAAGCATTTGTTTCAAACTCAGTGGAGCATACGTTTCCCTTTCACTCCGGTTTATTCGGTCCACAACTGCTTAAAGTATTATGGTTACCGACTAAAATGGGAAAACATGACATTTACAAATAGGAAAGGAAATATTTTGAGTGACAGGTTGTGTTATGTAAGTTAATAAAGACCTACACCGGATGAAAGACGCCATGCGATGTTTTAATTACGTCGCTACTTACCAGCCATCTGCTGCTAGCTGTTTACTAAATTTAAGTGCGTATGAACAGCTGAATTCTCCCAAGTTCTTAGGCTTAGGGTATAACGAGCAGGTTATAGAGACATAAAACATAATCCATCGGCGCAGGCTGATCTAGGTTGGCTTGTATATTTCTATCTTCTTCCAGTGAAAATAAGCGTTATGGTAAGAAAAAGTTAAAAAATTCTGTTGACACTTACTTTCATTCATCGCAAGGTGATGAATTTAAAAGGTTTTTGAGAGATATAAAAAAAATCGAAAAGACTGAACGAAGAAAAAACATCGCAAAAAAGATATTCATGCAGTACCTTTTGGTACAAAATTCACTGTCAACGTTGTATTTTATGATGGGAACTAGAGGGAAATGCTAACAATACACCTCCGATCTAAGTTCTTAAATATACGTATTATCATAAAATATAGTTACAGTAAGATCTCTAACGCTCAACAGACGCTGAAGGAAGATTATGATCAATGCAAAGAATTGAAACAGCTGATCTCCTCTTGTTCAGAGCATGCTTAAATTTTTTTTTTTTCCTTTTTTTTTTTTTTTTTTTCATTGAAGGCCGGCATCATCATTACAATGGAGCTGTAAAAACGAATTACCTCTTTTATAGCTAGCTGGGAACTTAGGCTACAAAATGTCTACCAGTCAATTAAAGATTAATATATAATCGCTTAAGATTTCCAAGCAAGCTATAAATGCTGAGTCAACCATCGAGTGGCAATTTAGGCTGAAGAAGTCGAACTGTCCATAATGTACGATACTGGTAGAAATGTAAGTCAATCCTGACTTTTACGCTATTTTTTTCTCCTATTCAATCCATATGTGACAGAAGATGAGGTAATGCTAACAAATACGAAACGAAAATTTTGTTTCGTGATCAACCATCATTAGGATTGAGAATTGCTGCAAAAGCTAACCTAATCAAAGGTAATCACACCAAACAGAGGAAAATGTTTGTAGCTTATTTCGAGTCTTGTATACTACCATAGCCATAGGGTTCCATTGTAAAAACTTAAGAGCAAATTTTTCGTACTACTTTCGTCGCTTCATTTTCATAACTATTTTATGGTTACTAATATTTCATTCCAAAGATAATTCCGTTAAAAAATGTAGAATACACGGCCACCCACACATAGGAATGTTAAGTTCTCTGAAATCAACCGATTAAAACATCAAAAATCAAACACCACGTAGGCGTTCTAGAAACGCAATAAGCGCATCCCACCCTCACAAGGTTTATGAAGCGCCACATTGATATGAGAGCAGAATCAGATGCCTTGTAGAGAGCGAAGTGCGAGTTTAATGTCGGGTTATTTCCGGTTTTCAAAGAACATGATATAAAATCATCACTAAAAGACTTACGATAATTTTTCATTATTTCACGAATCAGGGTTTCACTTCGAACTCATAGTTTGACGACGAGCTTATTGTTAAACAAAAAGAGAAACAATATTTTGTCACTTCGCCTATTTTAATTTGAACTGCCTATACGTATGAACTCACAAAGTAAGTACCATTTAATGCTCTCATGACACATAACGGCCACAATGTCTTGAAAAATTCACTTTTGATTCGTTTTTAATGACAATAGCATCATCACCTGCCAAAATGGTATTCAAACACTTAGTGTCGGCGACAATGTACAAAATTAATTATTCATCTACTCTAATGCGTTACCCATCCAGCATAACTTAACTCGAGTGAATTTTTCCAATAGGAAAGAACAATGAGACCGTTTTGGAGGATCTTGACAGATTTGAACTCGACTGCCATATAATAAGCAAAATATGCCGCAAAATCCAACGGTTTGAGAAAACAAAGTGCTGAAGTCTCTAAGAGTTTTTTCTCTTTCCCCTTTTCGCACGTTTAAGTCTTAAAATACTGTTGACATTATCATAATGGTTTTACGTCCACAAGACCAAGAAGAGGAAGTCAATTCACAATTTTAGGACTACACATCCTTTTCACCTGTTTATTTCCACATTCGTTCGTAATTGTGCACCTCTGTTTGCCCATATATGAGCTGGTGATGTTTTAATAATCTAAATTAAATTTTCTATAAACAGTTCGTTCCTCCATAATTTTATTGCTAAAAAGATATAAATTGAGCTTCTCGAGTTCCCTAAAGATCCTATAATCAACCCAGCTAAAAGTGTGATCAAGGAGTCTGACGATATTTTCAATTACATCCTAATCGACAAGAAGCAGAAATGTTTAACACCACTGGCAAGGTATTTATTAGTTAATTTCCGAAAGGTAGAGGGTACATTGGTGAACAAATGCTAATCATTAGATTGTTTTTCGATCTCGATCATTTAGTAAGTTTTAGCGGCGAGTTTAGTTCAATTACTCAGATGATCAGAGCAAAAGCTCTATGTTTCGACTTATTTATTCCGTTGTAAAAACACCAAGGAGACCTGGGCAGAATCGATTTTGAGACGCGGACGGCGTCCGGAAGAAGAATGTAATTACTTCTAGCGGACTTGGGCGTGAACCAGCCAAAAGACAACCTTTTCACGGTCGCTGCATCAGTTTTAAACTAAGCGATAATGACGATAGATCTGTCTCAAGCGTTAAGGTAAAAAAGACTCAATCTACGGCTACTGTTTAGGATCAGTGACCACACAATGAGTGCGACTGCTTTTAACGAACTTCGAAAACTTTCGTTATTTACTAGCATTTTAAACTAAACACCACAAATGTATAACAACCACCATGAAAAACACGCAAATAAATCTATGGGTCGCTAAAACCTCTTATTCTTACAAATTTCAGTTTTCTATTCTGTATTAACTGTTATCTTGTCTTTACGTTATTCACAGCTTGTTGCTTTCAAAGTAATCCTTCTATTACTGCTGACGACTTCAACCTCTCACAGTAAGCCACAGCTGCGGCGAGATAAAGCTGCTGAGCCAAGACGTTACACATGGGACGAAAATGAAGATTACATTTCTTACATGTTCCCTTATGGGATCAATGATGCCCAGGATCACGTTGAGCACTTGCCGCACTCAGATCCCACATGCCAACCAGATTGTGCATCCTTAACAAAAATTATGAAAAAGTTCTCCAACAATACCGTGAAAGCTAAAATTTGTAATACGATCAGGTGTAAGTGTGAAACCGATAAATTTGGAAGTAAATGCAACAGTTGTATAAGCAGAGGACGAAAAAGAAGTGCATATCTAAATTAGGAAACAAGCAACATCGACATTTGGATAGTGATATTTTAAAATGTTTAAGGTCGTTTGAAATAAATGTTAAAGTTGAACACTCGGTTTAACTCCTGAGTCTTAAGCAATCTGCTTGTAATGAACGTATTACGATTGAGAAAATTTCAATAAAAGCGACAAAAATAAAACTGATTGATATTGGACCTCAGTTTCCAGCGAGGGCTTATTAAGGTGTTTTTCTTCATAAACTATGCCTTTCGTACTCTACGTTGTCAGAAACACACTTCCTCCTCCACAGTGAGCTGAACGCCACGAAAGTTACCCAAATTTTATCACAATAAAGCAAAGAAAACGAGCCCTGAATTAAGATTAGCACGGTAAGAAGCAAGTCAAGCAAGGAAATGTTTGCTAACATCGAAAACTGACAAGTTTTAACTTTATAACAGGAATCAAAACACCAGTTTTCTCGTTTTGATCATCATCGATAGCTGTTCAGTTAAACAGACACAAGTTATTAATAAAGTTATGCGAGGAAAAAATTACGAGATCGGTTTTTGTATTCGACGGACAAAATCGCCGAACTTTCTAAGCTAAAATAAGTTATTCGGTACGTATCCAACGCACCAAAACGAGTTTGAGACACATCAGTTACATGTACCAAAACTGCAAATGATGGCAATTCTCGCTAATACCCAATTCAGCGAGTAATGAGTATGAGAGCGATCTTCGCAGTAACGAGCACTACTTATTAAGCAGTAATGAAAATGAGGCCTGAAAAAAATTCAGGCCTGTACGGGATTCGAACCCATGACCTCTGCGATACCAGTGCAGTGCTCTGCAGTGCGAGTAATCTCGTTCATACCCGAGTTTTCGTTTCCTTCCTTTCCTTTTTCCTCGCGAGTGCGTGGTGCCGACACTGTTGTCAAATACGAATTTTTCTGCTCTAATTGATTATGCTTAAAACATACAGTACGGAACAGACATATGTAATCTTCCTTTCAACGCAGAATTGCATGAATTGGACGCTTTGGACATGTCGAAAATCAACCTGCCCGCCCACCAAATCCAGCAGTCATTAATAACGTATTCGTTTCTAGGCTATGAACAATTCAGTAGTAGATTCAGCACTATTCCATGAGTTCGACCTTAAAAATGGTATCGACATGTAACGCATTCCATCCTCCTCCTTATTGAGTAACAAAAAGTTCACTTTACTGTCAGTTTTTATTTCAAAAACAACAAACACTTAAAATCTGTCAGCTCACTAAAGCTTTAGTATTTACACTTACATGCAGTGACGAAGGTAGTTCCACTATACATTTGGGTCCAACATTTCGTTCACCACACTCCTGAGAGCCATCTTTCTACATAAGTGACCGAAGAGCTCCGTCAATTTTTTTCCTCGATAACTTTTTCGTGATGATTTACATTTAAATGAAAGAAATCGATTTTCTTTTTATCACAGGAACTGAAAGTATCGATCTCGAATTTACCTATCTGTACTGCTTTGTTTTAGCTTGTTGGCTTGTTTACTTATTGGCTAAATGAACCCTTGGATATAAAACAAAGTTTCCTTCAGCAAAGCGCCTGAAGATAATTTCTCATAGGCTCTTTAGAAAGGGTATGCCAGTTCGCATGAACATCAGCACAAAGTCGGTTCTCGGTAAGAAGGGGAAGTTGATCTCAAAAAGAAAAAAACATTACATTGCAGTTCGAGTAGTATTAAGAGATAAGTAAATTCCTTTGATATTGTGAAAGAAATTTAAAGGCTTCATAGGCGTGATACATGAACAAAGTAATTTTCTTGACGGTTAAAAGATTTTACAGAAACTCACTGGAAAATGGCAAAATTTTTCCCTCGAGCAAATAACGAATAGATTGTCCCATGCAGGAAAATGCCTTGTAAATGGCTGCATGGTTTTACAAAGTATATCACCAGGGATTTCTTTGCCTCGGTAGTAGGCTCCCAACTACACTTTATTCTGGTCGGGAGTGGGCGGACTTCAAGCATTTCACTAGTTTTCTCTCCCAAGTTTCTTTATCAGTGGACTTTGTATAGTCTATATAACTCCTTTTTTGTAGTTCTCTGGGGAGTTTCTTTCTATCGACTTCATCAAGTTTGACAACAACTAAGCTATCATCTTTCTTTTCCATAAGTCGATGAAGGGCGTAATCCAGTTCTGAGCCACAATAGTTACTATTGAAGAAGTGAGTGGACACAACAGCTACTGTCTTCTTACACTTGTAAACGCTGTCAACCATATTTTGACGAAAAGGAACTCCAAGAGGGAAATCTCTGTAGTGCACGCAACATTTTAGCCCATGCTTTTCCTCAAGAGTTGGGATAAGAGTTTTAACCACCCACTCTGAGTCTTGGGAGCTATATATGACAAACGCGTCGTATTCAAATTGTATATCTGAAAATTAAACAGGCAAATATGTGTTACAGACAAACAGATAGACAGGTAGGTAGAGAGACAAAATAACTGGATGAAGAGTATTTAAAAATTTACTGACTGACAACAAACACCGCGTCGCCAAAAAAGAAATAAGGACGTAAGAGACTCATTTCTGTTAAGAAAATAGTGACGCGTTCTGAAAGGTTTCTGGTTTGTAATGAAAGGGTATTCACAAAAACATTGGTAAGAGCGCTCACACCAGAATCCTCTGAAATCTTTTTCACATCCGTACAGTTTCTTCGCCTTTTTTTTCAGAGGCTGAATTGGCCCCTAATCAGTCCCAGCCAACGAATAGGTTCCAATTCAAAGTCAGACACGCGGGAGAAAGAATGTTTAGCTTTGTTTTGATTCAATCTTGGTAAAAACTCCTAAACATTGCCCCCTTGCTGCCATATTGATTATGCGCGGCGCACCGAGGAAATTTGAAGAATTAATCTCGAAAATGGGAGTAATTGTGAAAAAACGTCTGTGCTATTGTGTATTTTTTTTAACCCGATTGGGTGTATCTGTATATTCCTCATTTTAATTCGAACCAAGAGTTATGAATTGAATAATTAAAATTACTGAAGTTTTTGTTTGACGAATAAGTTTACTTCTGTCAGGTTTGTACATGCAGCAGCGTCGAACTGGTTGTGATGGAGGACGGTCCTTTAAAAGGCAACGTCTTATCTAGGAGCAAGGATGTACTTTCTTATCTTTTAACGACTTGAACATGGAGACCTTCTCTTAAAAAATGCTTTTACAAAGTTTCACGATTTAGTATTTCAATTCCATCAATGTGGACGCGTCATATGTGGACGCAGTGTAGATTACTTTAATTTCATGTCAAACATAACGTCCACCCAACAAAACCTTGCAAAACTTTACTTCACAGAGAGCGTTGAGCATAGCAATTCACAACTCCACTATTAAATATATAGACCACTGTCTTCCTTAACGATTTTGTTCAGGGTTGTCCGACGTCAAACGGCGGAAATCCCCTCAAATTTTTCCCAAGTGCGTTGTTATTGCTGCTTTCGTATAAGCATTCTGTGCACATTTTGGCTCTTATTAAAAGAGATTATTCTTAGTGGAGAACACCAACCTGCAAAAGAGCCCGTATGTCTTAGGAACGCCTTTTTTTGTAGTCGATGGCAGTAGAAGAAAATCAGCAAAGCAGCCACAACACACATAAATATCGTGAGGAGGGTACTAGCAAGGACAACATTAAGCCTGCTACTTTCTGAAATAGAATTTTTACAAAGTAAATTACAGTGTAGCTGGCAAATCCCAACAGACATAAACAAGAACCAAACTCGAAAACAAAGAACAAAAGCAAGATCAAGACGAATGAAACTGATGATACTCTTAAAAGCCCTGCACTGCAGGACAAGGAGATAAATTCATTACATTCTTCCTCGTAATAAACCGTCAGAAATGGTGCGGGATATATGTAAAGTTTTGGACAGAAAAAAACTAAACCTTGGAACTTTATAAAATCGCTGCTATCCCTGAAAGTAGTCCGGTAGTGCTTGTTCGAGGGGTATTAAAAAGATGATTAGCCTACAATTAGGCTGCTATATATTTGAGAAGCTAGATACGGATATCAGCTACTTTTTAAATCTACCTGACGTTGGACTCGTGGGGAGAGCTACATAAGAATAGGAAAGAAATTAAGAGATGACACTATGTTAAAAGCTATTTCTTTGCCTATTCAGTCTAAGGGCTATTTTTCTTCTGTTCTCCTAATATTCCACGCAAGACTAGCAATCTACCAAAAAGGGTTAAAATAAACTTCAGTTTGCAAATGAGATGTAGCCAAAAGGGTACCCTTGGTCACAAACTGATGAATTAGCCAATAACCGATCCATGTGTGATGAGCAAAGGTTTCTTGGATCACCTGCGGGCAAACAAGTTGCTAGAAGAAAATATATGGCGAAAGGTTGTTTCGACGTCCAAAACCGAGTTTGGAGAAATATCAACGCTTCCTCGCAGCCAAACGCGTGCGTTCATTTTGCACTAAAATGTACTATACCAACCACAGTCCCTGGAAGGTTTTCAAAAAGCAAAAGGCTTTCCTCTCTTTATCAAACATAATCCTGAACTAAGGTAACGGGGTAAAATATTAATTTTAACATTTCAGAGACCTACAGTGTACATATTAAAAAGGAATCGATATTTACACGTAGTTCTTCTCAGTTGTCCTGAGATCTTTTATCCAAGAATACATATTTCAACTCATTCAGCGGTACAAAAGAAAACGTTAAGGTAAACGTAAGCTCTACAAAGAAGGGATGGAAGAAAAAAAAGATAACATGCTAAGGTATATTTTCTTTTCCGATCAGTATAGGGATTATGGTACTCATATTGTATAAATATGACTAGTGGAGAAAAGGGAAACATTAAACCCACCTTTCGTTGGACTTACGACAATGCCTATAAAGAACAGAAAAAGAACAAGAAATTATGCTTCGCCGTTCAGTACTGAGGTTATGGTATTCACATTGTATTAATTTCTCCTGCGAAGAAAAGTGAAACGTGAAACCCACCTGCGGATGGACTTGTAACAATGGTTATAAAGAACAGGAAAGGAAAAATAAACCAATTAAGTTCCATTTTAGTTACCGATCAATGCAGGGGTCATGGTACATATATTGCAATAATTATTCACCGTCGTTGGACACGAAAGGAAAAAAAGAATAACGGTTGGCATCAATTTTCTTTGCCGATCAGCGCTGGCTTTTTGTATTGCCTTCAAATGTAAAACCTACAAGAATATCTTTTTTCTGGAGAACATAAAAATACCATTTCATAAGACGGAAACTTCAGGAAAAGCGGGGAAAGTTTCATTGCTCTCTTAAATATATGCTGTCATCAACAGCACTTGTATGACCTGTTTAGATTCAAGATAGTTGTGCGTCCTGACTGAATAAATTGAATGGTATATTACTCTTCTGCCAGTAGAATAAGGATCACAAAATGCATGTTTAAATTATAGAAGACCATCATTTATTACACCTCCGCAGCATTGATAAAGTAGAAAGAGAAGAAGGTGAAGGCCTGGAGTGCCAAAAGAAATACTGAACAAATTTAACCTTCAAAGAAGTCAATATTGTTAAACGGAAACGGCGTTAAGGTACAGACCTCTCATAAGAAGTGGGCGTGACTATCATTTTTTTTTGTGTGCATTTAAATAACCCTTCTTAGCCTCGCTTATGAGTATGGGTTCTGTTTTTCCCTTTTTCCTTTGTTTGTTCTAACAAATTAGCTAGACCGACGAGGCTAATTCACATTTTGTTAAAAGAACAATGAGGCCCGCCATTTCTGAAAGAGGTCAGTTGAGGAAAGTCCGCCGAAAAAAGATAATCAAATTTTCCTTACTTGTATTCAGGGTTGATGTGCCACTTATCGTTGGCTTCTCATTACATGGAATGTGGCCTGTACAAGAAAAAAAAATTAGACGAGACAAAAAATCGTAAGTCACAAGAAACACTCTGTCTTTCCAAGGGGCACAGTTGGTGGTTACACTCTTCGATCTAACATTGTGGTGGGACACATCTTTAGCACAATAGTCTCACTTCAGTTTAGTCTTAAATTGAGGAATTCAGAAAAATAAAAGATTTTAAATTCGATTGACAATTAGTTAGACTAAGTTTTCTATTACGGATCGAGCAACCGCGTCATCTACTTGTTATTAGGTCCGATAACGTTTTGACCATCAGGGATCTAGCGAATCAAACAAAAATTTCGCCACACAGGAGGCGGTTGGCGAAACGTACACTTAATGAGGACTGCGATCTGCACTAATCACAGCACTAAAGTGCCCTTACTTGATCAAAACGCATGAACATCTAGTCACAATGGTGTTTGTTACGTTGGGCGGATGGCTACGAGAACTGCGGTTCACAAGCTACTTTATATCGTAGCAAGGAAATCAAAGTAAAGGCGACATTGACTCCACGTATGGCGAGGTAAGCTATTACATTTAGGAGTCAGACTGTAGTAGCCTTGAATATCTAAACTCAGTTTGAATAGCACAAACCTTGCTACAAAAGAAACTACACAGCCTTCAGTCTTTCGCTTACGGCAGAAATAAATAAACAAAGCAATATACACAATACAAAGCATAATGGAGACTTACAGTCTATGGACAAGGTAAAATTATCGTGGCTGAAGGAAAATGGTATGGAAACAACCTACCAAAAAAACAAAACAAACACAAAATGAAGACAAAAAAAAAACCGAACAGCTATAAATTTCGTTCAGTTTGTCAGGCAGTTGAACAAGTAAAGTTATTTCTGAAGGACTTGCATTTTTTACATCGATCATCAACGTAAATGAGTCACCGCTGCATGTACTACAAATTTCACGCTACTTCTAAGGGCATATCAACATTTCAACGTTTATAAGGGAAGGTATGTTTTTTATTGGGGGGGGGGGGTGGGCCGGGGTATTTTAGAAATTTTTTGCCCAAAAAGTCGTGGCCCGCCCACTTTCCAGATTGGATTAATGCATGACCCTTCATAACTTCCCAAACAAAAAGGATCTGACCCTCCCCCCACCTCCTCCAAGACTTAAATAACCGGAAGTGAAAATAACTGACCGGAAGTGTCTGCGCACAAAGCAGTTAACTGCGTGGCGTTGCACGGTGAAAACTTGAAAATGGCCAAGGATCTGCGAGGAATAGAAAGAGGGAAATGCGCTTGTGGAGAATGCCAGGATTTCATGAGGTCAGATGGAGCAACTTGTGGCTATTGTGGCTGTTTACCGACTCGCTATTCTAAAAAGGATGCTCCCTACTCCTCTGACTCTGTTGGTAGCACATCGGGTGCGGGAACAAGTGAAAGTACAAGTCCAGAGAAGTGGAAAGATGAAGATCTGGGGTGGTTCCCGAACCCAAAGGGCGAATATACTGAGTTCTCAAATAGCATTTTGTGAGAAAGGTGAGATTTATATTGACTATCTAGGCGAATGTCGCGTAAAGAGAGAAGTGGCAAACTATGTAAATTTTGCGAGAAGGATGAGACTAACAGCGCTCCACTTCCAACTCGACGACAATATCCCGACTATGGGAAGCTACCAAACTTCCATTATCTCTCTTGGAGTGCAATTCCCACCGATGGACGGAGTAGTTTTTTCCTTGCCAAAAAAGAAACTATGACCCTGCCCCGGCTGCGTATCCAACAGGTTTGACCCTTCCCAATTTGTAAAATATTTACTAATGACACTCCCATCTGAAGCCCCCACCCCATAAAAAAGGTACCTTCCCTAAATACGTTTTCTGCACTAATTGTAAAAGATCTGCAGGAAAAAAAGAATGGCACCCTATGCCTTAATGTCTGTTGAGAGAATTCAGACTTTCAAGAGATTCTTTGATCAGCTGACTCCCATCGAATTTCCAGCATGTACTTTCTTTCGTGCGATATCATTCCTGTGGGTACTTTTCCTAAAACAAGACTACATTGACGCATGGGTAAAACATAAGGGGCCTAGTCTGATTTGGGGAAATATGGTATAATTTTTGCATAATTTTCGACACGAAGCTTATTTCAACATATATCAAGAAGGGAGTACGCCACCAAAGCATTTTTGTGTTGATGCGTTAAAGCCCTCAAACAAAACTGTATAATTGACTATGTGGTAAGAACGCCTGCCTTTCACACCTTCACAAGTTCAAAAATCAACTTGTGTCCCTTTAGTTTTTCGAAGTAAGTCAGTGGTGCTGTCATTATTCCCCCTTCCCTTTTCCGTCGCACCCAACAAAGATTATGGATTTGGATAGACTTACACTGAGTCGCAAGCGCGAGTCATTCGGCAGACCACTGCTTATAAGATAACTCGTCTCGTTCTGAAATAAAATTGTTAATACAGTAAATCTATTTTGATGTGTTCACGGTTGAATTATAGCATTACTTAATTAAACCTAGTGTATAGACCAGTTTAAAGAAAGAGATCATGAGATTATTGATCATTTCTCAGTAATGACGGCCTCATAAGCCAGTGCTCCAAGCTGCGACCTTTTTGGAAACCGTGGCGAGTTAAAGAAAATTTTGGCAACTTAATTCAGCAAAGGTCACAAAACTGGCGACCCGCTTTCACTGTTCGTAAAAAAGATGTAACTGTCATTTCTAAAGGCAGGTTCAGGGTCCCAGGGAAAGGTGAGATCAACTTTTGCTTCAATATTATTAATATGGTCATAGCCTTTTACTCCTTGATTGTTTATATGGTGTGGTAAACGGTGCTGAATAAGTCGTTGTCTTTTGTTTGTTTGTTTGGTTTTTTTCTGTTGCTGTTATTTCTGGCGACCACTGAAAACAATTTCGGTGACTAAATGGCACCTTGGGAAAACGTTGAGCTGGGAGTACTGTTAAGGGGGTAAAGTTAACGTAAAGCCATCGAGACTGAACAAATTTTAAAATATCCGTTGAGAGGTAGGAAGAAGTGGAGATCAAAACTTCTTTAAGGTTCTCCGTATTTTGGCGGTTCTCACCTTATAGAGGTCCACGCACTTAACGATAGCTTCAGATACCATACCAACGGCGTAAATAAATCTGTATCCAGTCCAATTAAAAGCGTCACCTGAAAAAAAATATATTCTTAACTATTACACTATTATCATTATGATCTTCGTTAATATTATCATTCTCGCTATCATTATCATTATTACTGCTATCAATTTTCTATTTCGACTCCCATTAATACTAAGCACCATAAGTTTATCAGTTTTATTACTATCAAATAGTTGCGTGTTTTTATTCTTCCTACAACTTGATGGCGTATATATGATCACAAGAGAAAAACTTTCATTTTAAATTGGGAATGTGCCAACAACGATGCAAGAGAAATAAAACTACGAATTAGTTCTACTTGATTGTTGCCATACTTTTGTTATACTACATACTTAGCAGAGGTTCCCACGTTACGTTTGCCATAAAACTTCCATTGTCCTTGGGTTCCTGGAATGTTACCTTCGTATCAGGATGCATGAAAGTGCCTGAACTGTTCATTAAGCAGGCTTCGTTTGAAAACAAAATTTAGGTAATATAATCATGAGTAGTTCAATAAAAACGAGGGTACAAAGTAGATGATTGGGGTTCTAAGAGTTCCTGAAACCATAACGCTAAAAAACCAACTCGCACAAACAGACAGTGAACCAAAAACTCATGCGAGAAATGAAAAATATCGCTTCTAAACAACTTTCGCAAGGAAAATAATAAAATTATACCACCTTTTAAAAAAAAAATAAAGCTATAGATTCACATACAAGGGCTCGAAATATGGCTGATTGGTTATTTATTTTTCTCAATGCACCTTTAGATCATCTTTCTCCAAACCAACAATAAAACATGATAGGAAGTTAGTATAATAACAAATAACTAATTTATTATTTATATCCCACAAACCTACCATACCCGGTACTAAACAAACATAGAGACGTGCTAAAAGTTGAATATAGAAAAATCGAAAACCCTTTAGCAGTTTTTGACCATAACTGATCTTTGAAAATTCAGCTTGCTTAATGAAGAAGTGGCTGTAACGATACTTTATTCACCTACTTGTTAACTAATAAAAAATGAAACAAATTTGTTATCAGAAAGAAAGTATATTTTGACCTTACCGTCACTGTCATTTTTCTCGCTCCCTAGGATTTCTAAATGAGAAAGGAGGAAAACATCAACAAAATGTCACTTTGGTTTATTGAGCACTTTGCTGGAATTAAAAAATGGATTGATTTATCAATCACGGACTGTGTGGAGGACGTAGACACAGATCAACACGGCTCTCGAAATATACTCATTAACTTTCACATCCACAGTTATATTTGAAATGTTCCACCCATAAAACCTAAAAATATCATAAGATTAAAGATTTTAAAGGTGGTTGCTTTATCTTCTATCGAACTGTTCTTTTCCAAAACTACAATAATGGTGATTATGGAGAGAAATAAATTGGGAGCCATCTTTGGCCAAGCCATGATACTCGGGTAGTATGGATTGTTGATAGACAAGCTTACCGCGTTTGATTCTCTTGAAAGATGACGTCAATTCCTCACTGATTGAAACATCCTGATTATCCACAACAGAATTCAGTTTCCCTATCAACATTGGAGTAAAATTAATTTAAGACATATCAATAACAGCTTACTCTATCACAATTATGCGAGCTTACGGTATAAATAACACAAGTACTTTGTTAGACATTTTCGCAGCTAGATTAAATAATTCATACACATATCCACCTCTCCCCTCACCCTGGTGCTCTCAAAATGAGCGAGCGATGGCCTTAAGCATAAATCGAATACACGAAACGCCATGAATAGAAGACATGGTAGAAAGACAGATTATATCAAAAGAAAGGAGTTGACATTGGGGGATGGAATAGTATGGGGCGCCAACCTAGTCAATATTCCCTCTGTATTTCTGTGACCCAGTCTACTTTTAACATGGTCAACTAGACTTTTTATATGGCCAACTCGACTTTTTATATGGTCAACTTGACTTTTTACATGTTCAACTTTTGACTTTTTGTATGGCCAACTCGACTTTTTATATGGTCAACTTGACTTTTTACATGCTCAACTTTTGACTTTTTCTATGGTCAACTCGACTTTTTATATCGTCAACTTGACTTTGTAATCTCCACAATGCATTGCGTTAGGACTCTAACAAAATGACCGACAATAACGAAGACTTGCAGCACATCTCCTCGGCGTGTGCCATAGCTAAGCAGGCCCTCGAAGCCATCGACAATCTACAGAATAATGAATAAAGGCTGATAGTTTCTAAAGAAACTGTTTGTCGCTGCGTCGGTGGGGTAACGAAATAATTTGAATAATTTATTCCTGTTTTTCTCGTTGNCTAAAAAGTCAAATTGACCATATAAAAACTCGAGTTGGCCATATAAAAAGTCAAAAGTTGACCATGTAAAAAGTCAAGTTGACCATATAAAAAGTCGAGTTAGCCATATAAAAAGTCGAGTTGACCATGTTAAAAGTAAACTGGGTCACAGAAATACAGAGGAATATTGACTAGGTTGGCGCCCCATAGAATAGCGCAGACTGATTAAAATTTAAAGCTCATGGCATTGTAACGTTGAGTAAAAATAAACTAGGTTATAATCCACAAACATCTCTAATATATGACATAGAATACATGCATCAAATGCCGCTGAGATGAGTATCGCCATTTTTCACTCCGTCTATGTCAATTAAAATCTCAAAAAATTACCTCTTTCTAGAAGGCACTTGTCATAACACATCTGATGACTAGACAACTGTAAGGAATGACGGAACTTACTATTAATCTTTCAAATATCTGCTTGGCTTTAATACTACCGATTCCCCCAGCTCAAACTTCTTGGCGTGATCTCCTCTCGCACTTCCGTCGAATTAATAAAATACGAAAATCATAGCGCGATACCTGGAAATTTGACGTTGCAATTGTTATCATTGGGTAGTTCTTTCTGTACACAACAGGTGATTAGTGATGAGTTATGTTTTATTGCTACCCGGGAAATCCAAAATCTGAAAGAAGGAAACGTGATTCCACCGCAACCGAAAAACCTCAAATCGAGTTATCTAATTAATTAATTAATCTAATTTATTTATTTATTTACTTATTTATTTATTATTGTAAGTGAGGTGGCTCTCCCATAAGCCTGGTGGCTTCTTGGGTCTCCTCGCCTTCTAACTGTTATCGCTGTAATTAACTATTTTTTTAATTGTTAAAGTAAGGCAAATAAAGGTGATGATGATGATGATGATGAAAATTGCAAAAGAAAATATTGACAGTGTTGCCAAACCCCCCCCCCACCCCCCTAGTTCCATTTATACCTTTCTGCCTTAGATCTCCTGAGATGTCTCCGGGTAGCAGCGCTAGAAAACGTTAGCAATAAATTGGACCAGCACTGCCATTGGAATAACGCTTGAATTATAGAAATAAAGGAGAACTTTCTTTTCCACTTTGACGCGTTGCAACGTGAAACCCCGCGTAAAAGTAAAAGAATGGGCGGCAGCTCTTAAGTAAAAGTGGCCTCATGAATGAGGGAGATCACTTCAGGAGATATCAAATCCACCTTTCCAGTTAATCGAGGTCGGTAAAAGTATTCTTAAGCCCTGTTTACAAGCAAGGAGGATAACCCTTGTGCTAGGGTTACCCTAACAGGCGGGTCAAAGATAGCCCGGGTTTACAAGCAAAATTTCACAGGTAGGGTTACCCTAGCACCCGGGAACTCTTACCTATGCTTGGTAACCGGACGCATTGTTATCAATATTCAAAGGGTCTGGAAACAAGTAAAACGTTGTCCCGGGTACGCGAGTTATCCCCAGCAGAGCGTTTACAAGGCAGCTAGGGTTACCCTAGCGCTAGGGTAACCCTAGCTGCCTTGTAAACGCTCTGCTGGGGATAACTCGCGTACCCGGGACAACGTTTTACTTGTTTCCAGACCCTTTGAATATTGATAACAATGCGTCCGGTTACCAAGCATAGGTAAGAGTTCCCGGGTGCTAGGGTAACCCTACCTGTGAAATTTTGCTTGTAAACCCGGGCTATCTTTGACCCGCCTGTTAGGGTAACCCTAGCACAAGGGTTATCCTCCTTGCTTGTAAACAGGGCTTAAGAATACTTTTACCGACCTCGATTAACTGGAAAGGTGGATTTGATATCTCCTGAAGTGATCTCCCTCATTCATGAGGCCACTTTTACTTAAGAGCTGCCGCCCATTCTTTTACTTTTACGCGGGGTTTCACGTTGCAACGCGTCAAAGTGGAAAAGAAAGTTCTCCTTTATTTCTATAATTCAAGCGTTATTCCAATGGCAGTGCTGGTCCAATTTATTGCTAACGTTTTCTAGCGCTGCTACCCGGAGACATCTCAGGAGATCTAAGGCAGAAAGGTATAAATGGAACTAGGGGATGCATTCAACACTGCAGAA